TGAGTCTGCTGTTACGCGGTCTCCTTGGAGTAGCCGCCTTCGTCTGCGTGTGCCTCTCACCTCACAGCAGCTGCACGACTGGTATGGTCGCCGTCAGGGTCGCGCTTCTGGAGCTCGGAGCTCTGCCGCTGGAGGTACTTCTGCTGACGTCACTGGAGCTGGGAGTGGTGCTGCACCTGGAGGTGCTCGTACTGGAGGTACTGGAGCTGCTGGGGCTGGAGGTGCTGAGCCTGAGGGTGCTGCTGCTGGAGACACTGAGGCTGGAGACCTTGGGACTGGAGGTGCCGGTTCTGGGGGTGCTGCTGCTGGTGGAGCTGGTCCTAGAGGAGCTGGAGCTGAGGTTTCTGGAGCTGCTGGAGGTGCTGGAGCTGCTGGGGGTACTAGAGCTGCTGATGCTGGTAGCACTGCACAGCCGCGCCTGTTCTTCGCTCCACCGTCTCCGTCGTCTCAGCCACCGTCTGACTCTGTGCTTCGCCAGGTTCTTAGTCTCCCTTCGTCTACTGGTCTTCCGTTACAGCCTCGCTCACCGCTGCCTGCTCCTTCTCCTTACACTGAGCAGACAGGGGGTCTTACTGAGCGTCGTGAGCCTGCGTCGCGTCCTGTCTCGCCTGTCCGTTCTGGTCGTTCCGGTCGTCGTGTTCCTTGTTCGCGTCAGCCGGCTATCTCCGGCACCCACCTCGTCGTCCGTCGTCCTTCCTCTCCTCCGCAGCGTGTTCCACTGCCGTCCCCTCCTGCGTCGTCTCTGCCTACCGTTCCTGAGCTTGAGTCTGACCGCACCCGTGCTGCTCACCCTACTGTCACGCCTCTGCTCGCCACAGTTATCACTGACCCGTCGTTTGAGTCTGCTGCTGCGTATGCCTTAGTCGCTGAGCTTGTTGACTTTGCTGCTGCCTGTCGTCTAGACTACGCTGCTAGTCTTGTTTCTGAGTCTGAGTCTGTCTGTCCTCCGTCCGTCGGGGGTGAGTGTGCTCTTGGCACGGACGTCCTTGAAGACAGGCAAGAGGACCTTGAGTGTCTTGCAGCCGCTGCGCCTCATCTCGTGTCCATGCTGCTTGCCCCTGAGGGAGACCCGGATGCACCAGACATCCCGACCCCGCGCTCTTACGCTGAGGCGATCGCGGGTGAGTACTCCTCTCAGTGTCAGACAGCCATGGACGCAGAGATGGCATCTTGGAAGTCCACAGGCACATACGTCGATGAGGTTCCTCCTCCTGGGGCGAACATCGTCAGTGGCATGTGGATTTTCAGGGTGAAGCGGCCGCCACGTTCTCCGCCTGTCTTCAAGGCTCGTTACGTTGCTCGGAGCTTCAGTCAGAGGGAGAGAGTCGACTTCTTCCAGACCTTCTCCCCCACCACGAATATGACCACTCTTCGGGTGCTGCTGCACGTTGCCGCTCAGCGTGATTACGAGCTTCACTCTCTTGACTTCAGCACAGCCTTCTTACAGGGCAGCCTGCACGAGGAGATCTGGCTGTGCCGCCCACCTGGCTTCACTGGGTCGTTCCCTCCTGGTACCCAGTGGAGCCTCCGGCGGCCGGTCTACGGTCTCCGCCAGGCGCCACGCGAGTGGCACGACACACTGAGGACGACACTTGCGCTCTTGGGTTTACTCCGTCGACTGCTGATCCGTCGTTGTTTCTGCGCACCGACACTTTGCTGCCGCCGTTCTACATCCTCGTGTACGTCGACGACTTGGTCTTTGCCACTGCTGACACTGAGGCTCTCGCCCTGGTGAAGTCGGAGCTGCAGAAGAGACACACGTGCACAGACCTGGGTGAGCTGCGCAGTTACCTTGGCTTGCATATCACCCGGGACAGAGCACGCCGCACCATCACCCTGACTCAGTCACACATGGTGCAGCAGGTCCTTCAGCGCTTCGGCTTCACCTGGTCCTTAGCACAGCACACTCCTCTGGCTACAAGTCACCCGCTCTCAGCTCCACCTTCGGACGAGTCCGTAGTGCCGAGTGGTCCTTACCCAGAGCTAGTGGGCTGCCTCATGTACCTGATGACCTGCACTCGTCCTGACCTTGCGTACCCTCTTGGCCTTCTGGCTCGCTACGTGGCTCCTGGTCGGCACCGAAAGGTGCACATGGATGCTACTAAGAGGGTACTGCGCTACTTGTGCAGTACATCGGGCATGGGGCTCGTGCTTGGAGGGCGGAGCTCAGTTGTCCTTACTGGACACTCAGACGCTTCTTGGGTTGACGACCAGGCTATACAGCGGTCGTCACAAGGTTACACTTTCAGCATTGGCTCCGGTTCTGTTTCTTGGCGGTCTACACGCTCGTCTTCTGTTCTCAGCTCCAGTTGGCTGAGATCTACGCCACAGCCATGGCTGCACAGGAGTTACGCTGGCTCACCTACCTGCTGACCGACTTGGGAGAGCGGCCTCGTTCTCCTCTAGTTCTGTACGTAGACAACAAGGCCGCCATTGCCTTGTGTCAGGAGCACAGACTGGAGCACAGAACGAAGCACATCGCTCTGTGTTACTTCCTGGCTCGAGAGTTGCAGCAGCGGGGTCAGCTTCGCCTTGCTCACGTGGCCACTCGGGCCAACACTGCTGATATATTCACCAAGGCACTTCCGTCTGGTGATTATCAGCGCTTTTGTACTTTGTTGGGCCTTGTGCCTACGTTTCCACACTTGCTGTAGTCTCTGCTTGTACTGTGATCTAAGTATATATATACCTGCATGCTTGCTCTTGCTAGATAGAGATCACGGTGCTGTTTTTGTTGCTTATATACCTCTGCATGTGGACTAACCTTCTGGCCGTTTGCTTGTGCTCAGTGTGTGTGGTGACGTTGTGATCCACCCTGAGCTGTGTTTTGTTTCTTCTCTTGACTGGTCTTGTGACCATTGCTTGCTCTGGCTATCCCCCATTTCGCCTATGGGGGTGTGTCAAAACATATGCATATTATTATCCAGGCTATATTGGGGCTAGCCTTAGGGGGTACAGAAACATTCTCGACACTCTAGTTTTGTACCCCAAACTTCACCTAATGAGACCATTTCCATGCCTATATTCTAAGAGTTTCGCATCGTCGCACAGGAGGCATGCGAAATAGACAGCAGCACTGACAATCGCGTCGTAAAGACTACGGTTTCAGAAATTCGGCGTGCGCTAAGGGCATTCCGCCATGACGATACGCGCATTCCGCCATGGTTTTGAGGAGATTTCGCCATGGAGCTGCTACGATTTCCTCTGCAGCAGCCACTACTTTCTAGATCTCGATCTAGAATTTCGAGATTGGAAGGAGGGATTGGAAAACGTGAAGGAAGATGGTTTGGTTGGAGTTTGGAAGGCCCAAAGGTTGGGAGGGGAAAAGTGCTACAGTGACAAGCAGCTTGGCCAACACCAAACCCTAATTTAGTTTGGACGCACCCCTACCTTGTGGTGGTATACCACCTCGACCACCCCATCCTCTAAGAAAAACGGATTCACTAAAACCTACAGCAAGGGGGAGTGTTGGAAATCCGAATACAGTATAACGAATACTGTATACCAGTGTGCTGTTTGGTTTTTATGTAGTCCCCTTTATAAGCCTCCAGGTCCTACAATAATTGACACAATTATTGTAGAGCCATAATTATTGGAGGTCAGCATTATTGGAGGGTAGAGGGTACAATTATTGGTACACCGTTATTGGTGTGAATTGGCCATTCTGGGAGGGGTAGATGGTTCAATAAATATCCTGCTGTGTCACTTGTTGAACATCATTGAGTTATCATTGTGTCATCCTTCTACTTTTCAATTATCAATGCAAGATTTCTATCTTTTTCTTTTCTACAAACACGTTTCCGCTACGCCGGCACTATGCCTTTCTAGCACCGGCAAGGCTCTCCTCCGACCGAACCGCCTACTGGGCGCTCATAAGTCGCACACGGCCTTTCCCTTATCGAATCGACTGAACCCAGCAGGGGCTTTTCGCCTACCTCGTTACTTTCGCCACGGGGAAAAAAAGTTTTCAGTAATTATTGTCCCACCTGGAGTTTCCTTGTCTGTGATCATCCCCTTCGACCCTGTGCTACTCGCTTCATACCTCTCCCTCTGCGTCACTCTTACAAAAAAAATACTTTAGCGATCTCAAAGTGATTTCTTGGCTAATTTTCAATCAGACAGCTCAGCACATCACGTGGGCTTTGGGACTTCACGACATAACGTTCCAGCAGATCAGCCAAAAAACATAGCGTGCTTGGGAGGCTGACACTGGGTTTTTTTAGAGGGACAAAACTTTCAGCAGTGCACATCTAGAATCAAGCTCAGACGGGGCATGGTTTCACGGTCCGGTTAAACTGATAAAGCAGGCTGAATCTCTAGCCATGGCAACGCTGGCCATGGTGGTGGTACCGTACATGCGACGAATGTTGTTTAAGCAGCATAGTGACCGAAACTCACTCTGAAAAACAGGCTAAACAGGGTAAACCGCCCTGCACTGCAATCCAGAGGCTTGGGGTGGGGAGTATGGTATGGAGGGAGGGGGGTGACGGAGTGGTATAGAGGGAGGAGGAAGAATAGAGCATCGAGGATATGGAATGGCAGAGGAAGAGGGGGAGTTGAAACAGAAAATTGATGGAGCAAGAATGGAGGGAACAGGTGCGCAGAGAGGTGAGCGAAAAGGGAGCGAGCAGGAGGGGTGAGTGAAAGGGAGAGCAGGAGGGGCGAGTCAAAAGGAGAGCGAGCAGGAAGGTTGAGTGAAAGGGAAAGCGCGTAGGAAGGGCGAGTGAAAGGGAGAGTGAGCAGGAGGGGCGAGTGAAAGGGAGAGCGAGCAGGAGCGGAGATAAAAAGGAGCGAGCAGCGGGGGTGAGTGAAAGAGAGCGAGCAGGAGGGGTGAGTGAAAGGGAGCGAGCAGGAGGGGTGAACGAAAGGGAGCGAGCAAGAGGGGTGAGTGAAAGAGAGCGAGCAGGAGGGGTGAGTGAAAGGGAGCAAACAGGAGTGGGATCCGAGGGAGCATCACCTGGTGCACATCCAGGTCGAGTATTGCCACTCGCTGCACTCACTTGATCACCGCCCTCTCGCCCCCACCATCGCTCTTGGCTCCCTTCAGCAGCCCTCTCCACACGTACGGCTGATTGCCCTTACCACATGCGCTTGCTCGTGAAGGTGATTCAGGTAACACCAGCGGCAGTGGTGGGCCCTGTGCCTGTGCCTGTGCCTGTGCCTGTGCCTGTGCCTGTGCCTGTGCCTGTGCCTGTGCCTGTGCCTGTGCCTGTGACTGTGCCTGTGCCTTTGCCTGTGCCTGTGCCTGTGCCTGTGCCTGTGCCTGTGCCTGTGCCTGTGCCTGTGCCTGTGACTGTGACTGTGCCTGTGCCTGTGCCTGTGCCTGTGCCTGTGCCTGTGCCTGTGCCTGTGCCTGTGCCTGTGATTGCAGTGATGCTGCTTGGGTGACAGCACTTCTGGTAGTGGTGGTGGCAGTGGCGGTGGCAAAGGTGGGTGCCTTTAGGCCATGGGAGCAGGGAGGAGGCAGTTAGGGCAGCGGCAGTAACAGCAAGGTCGTTCAGAATGAAGTAGCCCAAGCTGTGGCCTTGAAACGCATGGTGCATGCCTGGTGGATGGGTGAGTGGAGGTGGGCGATAATATAGACATGGGCATCAGGGACAGGTGGACGGACTGTTCTTAGTTATCACAGATCTCGACGGTATCATGGTCCTATGGTCTAGTGGTTATGACGTCAGACTCTGAATCTGAAAGGCCGAGTTCAATTCTCGGTAGGACCTCTTTCTTACTACCACTCAAGGAATGCCCTGTCACCCCACTTTCGTATGGACTCGTGAGACACATCACCCACCTACGCCACAATCCAAAAGCAGCACGGCCGCCACCCGTGCACAACCCCAACCCTTCTCCCCCACACATCACATCTCCCATTCCCTGCTACAGGCAACTCCCTCCATCACCTGACCTGGCTGGTACCTTCCCCGTGCTCCATTTTGTTGAGTGACCCAAAAAAGGCAGGCTCAATAGTCAATGACAGACTTGCCGCCTCGCCCTCATGCACTGGCAATGCAACTCTCGGTCACTCGACACGTCAACCTGCTGTGTGTGCCACTGCCGCCTCCCCACTCCCCCCCAGAGCTGCATGCGCACGTGCTCCCCTGCGGCGCTGTCAATCAATCTGCCAGCTGCATTTGAAGAATCCTTACCAAACCCCTTCCTCTCTCCCCCCCCCTCCCCTCTCCATCCCCCCTCTCCTCCTGTGCAGCCTACCTCCTGCCGTGCTGCATACAGGCCCGTGCTCCAACGCAAGCTGTGCCGCGTCCAACATCCCTGCCACCTGGGGGAAGGCGGAGGGGAGAAGGGCAGGAGGGAGGGAGGGAGGAGAGAGGGAGAGGTAGAAATCGAGGAGGAAAAGAGGTGGGGAGGAGAGAACAGGAAACGAGGAAGGAGTGGAGATGGGAGGGGAGAGAAAAAGAAGATGAGACAAGGTTAAAGAAGCTCTGTGTGAGAAAGCATAGAGACTGGTGCATGGTTACGTGAAGCAGGAGGCAGAACAGTGCACACACATGCTTCAAACCAGAACAGCAGCGCTTTAGCACCCTCTCACCCATGCAGCCCTCTCACCCACCCCACACCAATACCAACACATCCTGTGCCGCCCGCCCGCCCAGCCCACTCCCCTGCCCCCCTACCCCAGCGCACCTCGGCGAGAGTTCGTCTAACGAGGGTGGGCGACCAGGGGAAGCCAATGCGGCGCATGGCAGCCGAGGGCAGCGCGCCCTGGCAGACCTGCGCCAGGTACTGCTCACAGTGCACCTGGGGGGGCGGGGGCGGGGGAGGAGGAAGGGGAGGGGAAGGGGGGGGGGGAGGGAGGGGGAAGAGGGGAAGAGCGAAAGGGGAGGAGGGAGGGGGAGTGGAGAGTGGGGAGGAAGGAGGGGTGGGTTGCAAGGGGTGGTTTGGACAGGGAGAAGGGGAATATGGTGCACAGTGAACATAGAAGGGAAGATGGTACATGGTAAGACTAGAAGGGGAATATGGTGTATGGGAGTGACGATGCGCTATGGGCGACAGGGTGGAAGGTTACACGGAAGAGGGGGGGGGGGGGGGGGGGGGGGGGGGGGGGACAAGAGGGGGTGGTGATGCTGTGCTGGTGCAGGGCGTGGAGAGCACGGTCGTATAAGAAAGAGATGCACTATCGCCATACATGTGGTGTGCATGTGGTGTGCATGTGGCGTGCATGTGGCGTGCATGTGGCGTGCATGTGGCGTGCATGTGGCGTGCATGTGGCGTGCATGTGGCGTGCATGTGGCGTGCATGTGGCGTGCATGTGGCGTGCATGTGGCGTGCATGTGGCGTGCATGTGGCGTGCATGTGGCGTGCATGTGGCGTGCATGTGGCGTGCATGTGGCGTGTGAGGGAATGTATGGGAGGGGAAGGTGGAACGGGGGGACTGGAGGGGAGGGAGGGGTTGGAGGGACTTACTCAAAGCAGGTCGGAAGGGAGAGGCGTTGGGTGGGGCGTGACCACCTGGGAGTTCAGAGGAGGGCGAGTGAGAGCGAGTGAGAGCGATGATAACAGGAGGAGCATGGGTCGATAAACATGCAGGGTAACGAGAAACAATAGGGAAATAAGGCGAAGGTAGGGGTGCACATAAGCAGGTGGGGGGGCGAAAGGGCTGGGAGATAGGCATTGAGCCGTGTGCATTGCAGGTTCAACCGTCCACACACCCCTCCCCATCGCAGTCCCTCGCTGCCCCCTTACGGTACGGCTTACCCAACCACACCACCTCCCCTCCTGTCCTCCCCACATTGATGCTCCTCCCGTCCCGTCAGTCGACTCGCACCTGCCTACTGAACTGACCCCAATTCACCCCTTCCCGCACACTCACCCTCTTCACCACCCTGGAGCGCGCGGGAGGGCGAGTGGGAGCAGGATGAAATATGGGTAAGAAGGGGCACATGGGGGGATACGCCTGCACGTGGGAGGGCCAAGGAGCTGAGAGATGAGCTGAGAGATGAGCTGAGAGACGAGGTGAGAGATGAGGTGAGAGATGAGCATTGAGCAGTGCATTGCGGGTTCTTCCACACGCCCCTCCCTCTCCAAGTCCCTCCCTGCCCCCTACAGCTGATCCAACCACACCACCTCCCTCCCATCCTCCCCAACGTAGATGCTCCTCCCGTCAATTCACTCGCACCTTCTTATTGACCCATTCACCCTTCTCCCGCAAATCCGCCCCTTCTCCCTTCAATCCCCCGGATTTTCCGCCGTTTCCCTTCCCCCTCCGTCGACCCTCCACTGTGTGCGGAACTCGCCTGCGCGGGCGCACCACACCCTGCGACCATCTGCGCAGCCGCCCGCACCCCCCCCCCTCGGCGCGCGCGCCCGTCCGCTCCGCCTCGCCCTGCCGGCTCCGCGGGCGATGACTGCGGACGCGCGGAAAAACTTCGCGCAGGAGCGGAGCGGCGCAGCGGAGGGCCTGGGGGACGCGAAGAGGACGGGGTCGGGGGTGTGCGGGCATGGCGGACTCGAGGGATGGAAGTATCGCTAGTAGCGACTCAAGCCCATGGTTGATTACGCGCGTGGCTATGGGCGCGACTCGCACGAGCAGCGTGGCGACCAGCGTGGATCGCGAGAGTCGCGGCGCTGACAGCATGGATGACGTGGGAAGTGGGGATGCGAGTAAGTGTGGGCTCTGGGCTGTGAAAGCAGGCTCCACGGCAGTTAGTGATTGAGCTGAGGACCCGTCGCAAGCTCGGTTTGAGATAGAACCTACAATCAACCCACCTGTACATAGAACAATTCACGCCGCTAACACAATGTGAACTCCGGATCGCTTTCTAGCTTCACCGATTGAAACCGTTACTAAACAGCCTGAACATCCATGCATGAACTGCAAACCAACTTTCGGGATCCGCCCTTGTTTTTCAGTCCAGCTGCACATTTCCAGTTTCATGCTTCGCGGCTCGGAACGGTTGCACGGTGGAGGGTGGTTTTGAATTGTTACCTTTTTGTACCGTGACGAAACGAATTAGACCGCAGAGAACGTAAGAGACGCTTACCCAACCACGCCCGTACGGACAGGGTTGAGAACATTCGATTGGCTGGTGACAATTTGGTCTACCTTTTTGATAGTGTGTTTCGATAAGAAACGCACCCGATTGTGGCCAGTGAAACGGCGACAAATGGGGAAGCAAACAAAAAACACATTAGGAGTGAAGTGACAAACTCCTGTCATGTGACCATGACTGATCTGTAGGCATAGTTCACGGACATGATTTCAATCAAATAGCATGCTCATTCAGTAGTTGAATATCAGAGAATTGCAAGCACGAGTCTCAAAGCAAACCACAAACAAGGCCATAGGCTACGATGCAAACCACGCTAGGTCAGACTCAAAGAGGCGTTCTCTTGTGGCTACTGGTTCAAAACTCAGACCCGTGAGCATGCCTCACAGCCTGCACGCCTGGAACTCACGCCATCAGCACAACCGCCAGCAATGGCAGAACGGCAACAGCCAGAGACGCTCCGCCAACCCCAGCAGCCTTGGGGGGAGGAGGAGGGGAGCTGGGAACAGGCGGAGGAGGAGATGCAGAGGGGGGAGACGGAGACGCGGTGCTTGGGGGGGGAGCAGCGATGGTGGGGGCTGGCGCAGGGGCGGGGGGTGTAGGAGCAGGAGCGGGAGGCGAAGGAGCAGGGGCGGGGGGTGAAGGAGCAGGAGCGGGAGGCGAAGGAGCAGGGGCGGAGGGGGTTGGCGGGCTGGCATTGGGGGGGAAGGGCATGGTGGCGTTGGAGTAGGGGAAGTCAGCGCAGATGGCCGGGTCGAGGGGGCGCCCCGACACGTTCTTGGCGGCCGTCATGTTGACCGCACCGGGCGGGCAGGTGGCGGGGATGGTGAGCGGGTCGCAGCAGAGAGGGGTGACTGGGACCAATGTGGGACCGGAGTAGCATGCGGTTTTCTGCATGGTGAGGGTGGGTGGTGGGCACAACAAGTTGAAGCAGAAGCAGCGCGCAGCAGCGCACAGGAGAGGGAAGCGAGGAAACGTTGCAGCATGTGCGTGGCATGGCAGAGAGAAACGAGCGCGCGTGCTTCGGCGTGAAAGCGAGAAACTGGGTTGACTCGGTTGAATGGATGTGACTACGGCTCGACGAGCGCGTCGCGTGCATCGCACCCGGCGTCGTCTCGCCAGCAGATCTACTCACAGCGACGGTGGCGTTGAAGCCGGGGATCTGCTGCGCGACGAGCGGCACGAGCAGCTGCTGGATGATGTCATCCGGCGTGGTAAAAAAGTCGGCCACCACGATCCCCGCCACTGCATAGCACTCGCGCGCGCGCGCGCGCAACACAGCACACCGCACCACCACCACGACGACAAGAAAATACGCGTGTCAGAAGACACAGGGATACAGCGATTTGAAGGAGAGACGAAGTGGGCGACAGGAGCGAGACATGGAAGACCGTTACATGGGAGCGCGGGTCTGACCTTCAAGCGAGGAGCACGCGTCGTAGATGGCCTGCCCGTGGTCCGTGCAGATCTGCAGCATGTACTTGCCGGGCTTGCCCGTGAGGTAGTTGCCCGAGTCTGCCACACACGCCGGCGAGAACGCGGGAGCAGACGCGGCGGGCGTGACGGGGGGGGGATATGGAGGGGAAGAGGGAGAGGAAGGCGGGGGGAACGACGCGGGAAGACGGGTGGAAGGCCAGCGGCAAGCGGTTGAGCGACGACGCAGAGGTGATTAAGAGCAGCAGAGCGCTAAAAGGAACGAGCAAGATGTGTTGGGTATGCACTGTTCTTGTTAAACTTTATCAGATGTGCTGGCTGTCTCACCAGGGTTGCACTGCACGGCGCAGGCGAGTTGTTCGATGAGTCGCTCACACATCTCATTACCCTTCATGATAGGACAGATCTGCACGCACGAGACGCACGCGAGCAGACACGCATAAAATACACACAACGAGACTGCTTGGTTCCTTTTGCAGAGCAGGTGCGTGAAAACGAACGCCGACCAAAATGCACGCATGCACCGATACATCGTTACATCAATAAATCGGTTCCCATATCGCAGGACCACTCACGCTATTCGGCACGGTGGAGACATCGATGAGCCCCTGCGCAGCGGCTTCCACGGCGGCGGTAACGTTAACGGCGAGCGCCTGAACGGCGAAGTTAATGTCGGAGCACGCGGAGCAGCACGTCAAGTTAGATGCTCCCACACACCGCGTGGGGGCCACTGTTGGCTTCGTCGGTGGTTTGCCGGTCAGCGGACAGTTAGGGTACGCCGCTGCATTGGTTGACGGCAGCAGAAGAGTCGCCGCCAGCAGCGCCGTGAGAAGCTTCACCGTGATGAAGCCTCGACTCGAAGTCTTCGCCAGTAAAGTGGCCATGATGGCGAGTGCTCGGAGCTGGGCGGACCTCGCTGGTCAGCTGCAGGTGGCACTGAAAACAACCACACAGCAGCTTGAACACCAAGGCAGAGATTACTACTGTAGTCACACTGCACAGACGACCGCCGATTTAGACTCGTGCTGCTGGGTTGCACATATGTATTGCTCATGCGCTGTGTGTGTCCTCTCGGATTCAAGCACCAAGGCGTGTGTTCCTAGGGCTGAAGAAATCTGGGACGTGTTCGCATGACCATCCGATTGAACCGCTGAAGCTACTCAGCAACTACTGAAGTAGGGTTTGAAATGTGAGGCAGCCCGATTTTCTGCTAGAGGCAGCCAGGGACATCCCAAGTGTCTTGTTGGTCTGCTTAGGTTCATGAAATACTATAAACCAACGTAAATCAAGTGGAGATTAGCTCTCGGCCTATGTTGGGCCTGAGAAGAAACGAGGAATGAATGAACTATGAATGAATTGGGTACAAGTACTAACCCTAATTCGGTTGTACCCCTTATGGGCTACCCCACTATAGCCTACACAATATGCAAGAGCTATAATGTTCTGACACACCCCCATAGGCAAAGTGGGGGAGAACAAGGGGTCACAAGACCAGTCAAGCAAAGCAAGCTCAGGGTGGATCACAAAGTCACCACACATTCCGAGCACAAGTTCAAGGCCACAAGGCCAGTTCACATGCAGGAGTACATATATATAAAAAGGCTAGACAAGCAAGAGCAGGTATATATATATGTAACAGTACAAGCAAGGTCAAGAGGTGAGCAAGTGAGGCAAGGTAGGCACAAGGCCCAGCTGAGTACAGAAGCGCTGATGGTCACAAGGCGCAAGCGCCTTGGTGAAGATATCAGCAGTGTTGGCCTCAGAGGCCACGTACGCAAGACGCAGCTGACCACGCTGCTGCAGCTCACGAGCAAGAAAGTAGCGGAGAGCAATGTGCTTCGTTCTGTGCTCCAGTCGCTGCTCCCGACACAAGGCCAGCATGGCCTTGTTGTCTACGTACAGCACTGGGGGAGAACGAGGCGGCTCTCCGAGGTCAGTCAGCAGGTAGGTGAGCCAGCGAAGCTCCTGTGCAGCCATGGCTCCTGCGTAGATCTCAGCCTCACAACTGGAGCCGAGAACAGAAGACGAGCGAGTAGCCCGCCACGAAACAGAGCCGGAACCATGGCTGAAGGTGTAACCCTGTGACGACCGCTGCGTAGCCTGGTCGTCAGCCCAAGAAGCGTCTGCGTGCCCAGTAAGGACCACTGGACTCTGCCCTCCAAGCACAAGCCCCATGCCCGACGTACTGCACAAGTAGCGCAACACCCTCTTCGCTGCAGCCATGTGCTCCGGTCTGTGTCTCCCAGGAGCAACATAGCGTGCGAGAATGCTAAGAGGGTATGCAAGGTCAGGTCGTGTGCAGGTCATCAGGTACATGAGGCAGCCAACAAGCTCTGGGTACGGGCCACTCGACTCTACGGACTCATCCGAAGGCAGAGCTGAGAGCGAGTGGCGAGTAGGCAGAGGAGTGGCCTGAGGCGAGGAGTACGTGAAGCCGAAGCGCTGAAGGACCTGCTGCACCATGTGTGACTGAGTCAAGGTAATGGTGCGGCGTGCTCTGTCCCGAGTGATCTGCAAGCCAAGGTAGCTGCGCAGTTCACCCAGGTCAGTGCACGTGTGTCTCTTCTGCAGCTCGGACTTCACGTGGGCGAGTCCAGCAGTGTCAGCTGTGGCAAAGACCAAGTCGTCGACGTACACGAGGATGTAGAACGGCGGCAAAGAAGTGTCGGTGCGCAGAAACAGCGACGGGTCGGCAGTAGAGGGAGCAAACCCAAGAGCCGCAAGTGTAGTACTCAGTGTGTCGTGCCACTCACGCGGTGCCTGGCGGAGACCGTAGACTGGCCGCCGTAGGCTCCACTGGGTGCCAGGAGGAAAAGACCCAGTGAAACCAGGTGGGCGACGCAGCCAGATCTCCTCGTGCAGGCTGCCCTGCAAGAAAGCAGTGCTGAAGTCAAGAGAGTGTAGCTCGTAGTCACGGTGAGCAGCTACGTGCAGCAGTACCCGAAGAGGACACGGGAGGCCATGCCTCGGAGACGAAGCAGGGAGGGGTGACCAAGGCGGTGGTGCCAGAGGAGAGTCTCGTGAGACAGGAGGCGACACGAACAGGGGGCAGACTCAGGACCAGACCTGGACGCTGCAGCAAACACCTGACCCGACGCAGCTACCTGACCAGACGCAGTGACTGGAGGAGACGCAGTGGTCAGGGTGTACAGGCTCGACCCCGGCCGACGAGTAAACGTGGCCAGGTGTCGGCCTGTCCGAGCGTCCGTGCAGTGGGTCACCCGCTGACTCGCAGGAGTGAACTGGTGAACCCCCGCATCCTGTAGGTCAGCACCACTCACCAAGTTCGTAGAGAACGAGGGGAGGTAAAGACCAGACAGGGTGCCAGAGGGGGCCGCCAGACACGGGAGGACAGTGGAGAAGTGAGCAAGGACAGGACCCCCAGAGGGGTCTGCCAGAGAGACTGCAACCGGCCGGCCAAGCGGCGTGAGTGTGGTGCGGTCTCGAAAGAAGGAGCGAGAAGCCCCCGAGTCAAGGGTGAAGGTGTGGGAGGCCGAAGCCGACGCAGAACCTGAGAGAGCAGACTCACCAGCACCTGAGGGAGCAGACGCACCTAGAGCAGCAGCCTCGCTAGCACCTAGAGCAGCAGCCTCACCAGTACCTAGAGCAGCAGTCTCAATGCCCGGGTCGGGCGGAAAACACCGGTAACAGTCACCCTCATCACTAATAGTCACAGTATACATGGCAGCAAGAATAACATCAAAGTCAAGGTCAAAGACAGCTACACCCGCCCTAGACAGCTCACCCCAGCGGGGGATCTCAGTGGCCTCAGGGAACTGGTGACGCCAAGCGTCCGTCAGGCGGCCAAAGCAGCGCTGGGTGGAGTGCGCACCCCCGCACTGCTCACCCGCGCGGTCGCCGGTGCGTAGGACGTAGGTGCACGGGCCAGTACCCCCACCCCTCTGGCGTGCAGTGTACCACTCACGGAGCTGCTGAGGGGAGGGGATGTCACGAGTGCGCTGCTGCTGCTGCTGCTGCTGCTGCTGGCGCTGACCACCACCGGAGCCGCCCCTCTGCGCAGCGCCACCCCGACCAGCTCCACCTCCTCCACCGCCTCCTCCTCCACCGCCGCCACCTCCGCTCCCACCGCCACCGCCACCGCCGCCTCCGCCTCCACTGCCGCCACCGACACCTCCGCCCCCGCCACCACTCCCACCGCCACCCCCACCCCCTCCACCGCCTCCACCGCCGCCTCCACCGCCCCCGGTAGCTCCTCCAGTGCCCCTGCCCCCCTTGCCCTTGCCAGGGCGACGTCTCCCGCTAGGGGTAGACGCCGCACCGACCGACTCAAGCCCAACGAGGTCGGCCGCAGCAGCAGAGGCAACAGAGGGCAAAAGGGGGGAGGGGGAACACCCCTCAAAGATGGGGGTGCGAGGGTCACCACGAGAGGCTCCTACAGCGACTATGCTCTTCTCTGCTGCTAGGAGGGACTTCTCGAGGAGGTCAACGGTGAGAGTGGTGGGGCAAACTGAGAGGAAGTGGTCCCTGACTACGCGAAGGGAGTCAGGGAGCCGGGTGACTATGTAGTAGAGGGTGATGTACATGGGGGGGGGGGGTTCTTGGCGCAGAACTCAGCAGGAAGCGCAGCGCGGTAGCGAGTGTCACTAGTGCGGAGGTGCGTAATGAGATCAGCGACTGTGGGAAAGGCAGCAAGGTCAGGGAAGAGGTACGGTAGCATGAGGCGGCTCAGTGCAGCAGTGGCAGGGGAGGAGTAGCGCGCAACTACAGCGTCGTACAAGGTCTGAGCACTCTTGTACTGGCTAAAGTGCGCACGCTCAGAGGTAGGCAGGTGGCGACGCACAGCAAGACGTGCAGCAGCATCGCGCGTGGCCCACTGTGAGCGAACAGTGGCGTCAGCATCAGCAGCGGGGGCAGGAGAGGCACCAGAAGTGAGGTCAAAGAGGGAGAGGCCGTCTGTCCTGTCGCACTGTAAGAAAAGCTGCAGGTCATCTATCCAGACGTCAAAGTCAATGGCCCGACCCTCAGCGTCAAAAGCGAGGACACTAGGGGTAGCCATGACAGCAGTAGACTAGCAGCGCAAACAGTAGGGTGAGGGCAGTGCTGTGAAAGGGGCGCTGCTCTTACCGGACAGGGCGGCTCGGGTGGGTCGGCTGTAGGGCGGCTCGGCGGCTCGGCTGCTGGGCGGCTCGGCGGCTCGGCTGCTGGGCGGCTCGGCGGCTCGGCTGCTGGGCGGCTTGGCTGCTGGGCGGCTCGGCTGCTGGGCGGCTCGGCTGCTGGGCGGCTCGGCTGTTGGGCGGCTCGGCTGCTGGGCGGCTCGGCGGCTTGGCTGCTGGGCGGCTCGGCGGGGCCGCTGAGAGGGCGGCGTCCGGGGCCGCTGGGAGGAGGCGGCGGGGCCGCTGAGAGGAGGCGGCGGGGCCGCAAAGGTAGGTGGCGGGGCCGCAGGTA